TCGGCTTTAAAGGCCGTTTGATTTAATAACTCGGGATATACAAAATAGATTTCTCTTAGAATGAAAAGTTCTTTAAATAAATGCATTTTATTAAGCTACCTAAAATTTTGATGAAAAATATTGCATTTTGAAAATTTCGCAAACATTTTTAATTTTCACACTGCCTTTCAAGCCGAACGCCAGTAATTACGGGTTAAGCTTTTTAAAATCATTTTTACCTTTTTTATATAATTTTAAATTCAATTTTTAAATATGCCACACTCTCATTTATCAATTTTTCTTTATTTTATAATCAAATTATAAATTTCAATTCATCATTTTCAATTTTATTATTAAAAATATTCAATCACAAATTTTTATCAATTTACCAATCTTACATGCTTTCTTAAATTTACCCATATAATATATAGTCACGACCGTCTTTCCACCGTCAATCAATTCCTCAATTCCTCATGTCACGGATGCGCGCGCATCATCATTAGTATAATATAAAAAGCCAAAAATGAAGAATGAATGTAAGATAAAAAGCCAACAATGAAGAGTAAATATGATATAAAAAGCCAACAATGAAGAATGAATGCAAGATAAAAAGCCAACAATAAAGAGTAAATGTAATATAAAAAGCCAACAATGAAGAATAAATGTAAGATAAAAAGCCAACAATGAAGAGTAAATATAATATAAAAAGCCAACAATGAAGAATAAATGTAAGATAAAAAGCCAACAATGAAGAGTAAATATAATATAAAAAGCCAACAATGAAGAATGAATGTAAGATTAAAAGCCAACAATGAAGAGTAAATATGATATAAAAAGCCAACAATGAAGAATGAATGTAAGATAAAAAGCCAACAATGAAGAGTAAATGTAATATAAAAAGCCAACAATGAAGAATAAATGTAAGATAAAAAGCCAACAATGAAGAGTAAATATAATATAAAAAGCCAACAATGAAGGGTGAATGTAAGATAAAAAGCCAACAATGAAGAGTAAATGTAATATAAAAAGCCAACAATGAAGAATGCATGTAAGATAAAAGCCAACAATGAAGAGTGAATGTAATATAAAAAGCCAAAATGAAGAATGAATGTAAGATATAAAGCCAACAATGAAGAGTGAATGTAAGATAAAAAGCCAACAATGAATAGTAAATGTAATATAAAAAGCCAACAATGAAGAATGAATGTAAGATAAAAAGCCAACAATGAAGAGTAAATATAATATAAAAAGCCAACAATGAAGAGTGAATGTAAGATAAAAAGCCAACAATGAAGAGTAAATGTAATATAAAAAGCCAACAGAGTGAATGTAAGATAAAAACCCAACAATGAAGAGTGAATGTAATATAAAAAGCCAACCTTGAAGAATGAATGTAAGATAAAAAGCCAACAATGAAGAGTAAATATAATATAAAAAGCCAACAATGAAGAGTGAATGTAAGATAAAAAGCCAACAATGAAGAGTAAATGTAATATAAAAAGCCAACAGAGTGAATGTAAGATAAAAAGCCAACAATGAAGAGTAAATATAATATAAAAAGCCAACAATGAAGAGTAAATCTCTATATATATAAAAATGAATGTTTGTCTGTTTGTATGTTTGTTTGTATGTCCGGTATACAAATTCGCAGTAGTTCACTAATTCAAACCAAAATTTCCATACATAGGTAAAAAATACGGGGAAGACACGATAGGCTATTTAAAAATATATATAAATCAATTATTAAAACTATATATTTTTAGTCAGAAAATGATGATGACGATATTGCTGTATCATGTTTGAATATCAGATACAAAATTATATCGGGAAAAATTCCAAAAAGCAGAGACCACGGGTGAAACCAGTTCATTATTTTGTACGCAGGAACAAAATTCTAACAGAAAAACATTCATTCGAGCAGAAAACAAAAGCCAGATCATCTTTCTATAAAAATATCGCTTCTCAGACACAAAGTTTGCAGCGGGACGTTTTACAAGTGTGACATCCACGGCGCCAATTTATAATTGTAACGAATGGTATTTGAATAAAAACATTTAATCGGGTAAAACCCGGGCGTTGCCCGGGTCATTCGTCATTAATATATAGTCACGACCGTCTTTCCTCAATTCCTCATCGCTGTCACGGATGCGCGCGCATCATCATTATGATCATTATCTTCTATAGAAGCTTCTATCTTTATAATTATGTATATTTACAAAAAGTCAATTCGCTCGCGCCTCTAACGGTGAAAATGAGGGGTAATACCAGCTGACCTAATGTACATGTAAAGTTTGGAGCGGGACGTTTCACAAGAGTGACATCCACGGCTCCAATTTATAATTGTAACAAATAGTATTTGAATAAAAACATTCAATCGGGTAAAACACGGGCGTTGCCCGGGTCATTCGTCAACATATATAGTCACGACCGTCTTTCCACCGTCAATCATGTCACGGATGCGCGCGCATCATCATTATGATCATTATCATTATCTAATGATAATAATAATAATAATCATTATTATATTATTATTATTATTATTATATATATACATAGTCACGACCGTCTTTCCTCAATTCCTCATGTCACGGGTGCGCGCGCATCATCATGATGATCATTATCATTATCTAATGATAATAATAATAATTATTATATTATTATTATTATTTTATTATCAACATATATAGTCACCACCGTCTTTCCTCAATTCCTCAATTCCTCATGTCACGGGTGCGCGCGCATCATCATTATGATCATTATCTTCTATAGAAGCTTCTATCTTTATAATTATGTATATTTACAAAAAGTCAATTCGCTCGCGCCTCTAGCGGTGAAAATGAGGGGTCATACCAGCTGACCTAATGTACATGTAAAGTTTGGAGCGGGACGTTTCACAAGAGTGACATCCACGGCTCCAATTTATAATTGTAACAAATAGTATTGGAATAAAACATTCAATCGGGTAAAACACGGGCGTTGCCCGGGTCATTCGTCTAGTATATATATAATGGTATCATCCAAATCTACAACTTAAAAAAATCATTATTATTTTTCCAAAATTTCTAATTCATCATGATTCTAAACCTTTTTTTGTTTTTCATAATATCTTATTTTCATACCAAAATATCAAATGTCAATCAAATGTTAAAATCATTGTCATAATCACCATTTTATGTAAGCGCATCAATTCAAAATATTTTTGTCACTATCACGACATTGCCCTTTTACAAGAATTATTTTAGCAACCATAATCAACGATAAAAAAATCAAAATATTAAATATAAATCATCATAGGTGAAACGCATTTTTTAATTTCAGAAATATTTTGTGATTTCTCTCCTGAGAGACAATATCTTCAAAATCACAACTAGGAAAAACAACTATCTTTCCCAAAACAAGTTAAAAATAAAGATTCCCTCCACTTCACCACCAGTAGCTAAATTAGATCACAACCTGCCAAACCTATTACAATCGTTAATATTTGAGGATAAATACACTCCCTCGTACTTTCCTTTTACATGCATAATTAATCATCAACAAATCTCTCTCAACAAACGTTACAAAACTCACACATCACTTTATCCAATTGGCAACAATTATTAGTGGGCGACTTAACAAACATCCAATTTCGAGCCCCACAAGCTCCATATCGTCGCAACAAAATTTTTACATTAAGCGTACCACATCCACTAACAGTCAAAAATATTCTCGATATGTGTTCGTACAACCACCACCCATGACTCTAGTAAACTCGTTATTCATGGTGAAACATTCTGAACCAAACAACGACTTCACGTGACACCTTTTCATTCACAATTTTTCACTTCGTGTCACAGCGCCACACCACAAAACTTTCACTTTTCAGGCCAAAGACGCCTTCATGCCTGTTACACATCTCACCCCAAAACGTGTCCACGTCGAAAGTCGCACTTTCACCACACTTCGAACCCGAAATCATCGAATAACATTGTTATTAAGTCCGCAACAACGTCGAAACACAACAACTACGAACATTAAAAAATATATATCTTTCAAAGAGGCAAGAAAATTGCCAACTTCAACAAAAGAAGAGAGAGAAAATCAGTTTCAAGTAAACGACAAAAATATCAAACCATCCCACATGATTGACCATACCAGAAATAGAACCATCGACGATACCGAGAAAGATAGAAAGTGGACGCCCTTTAGGCGTCACTCCCCCAAGTCGAATATTTTTCAGTTACATATCCCCCGTCCAATGTCCTCCCTCCCCTCACAAAAATATCATCTTGACTGCTATTTTAATTATCGCCATCTTAAATTTTAACACGTATTTCAAACCAATCATTTAGATTTTTTCGAGAATCTCATAAATCTCACAAGCTCCTTAACCACACCACACTTCACATATTAAACATTTTACATGTTAATGGAGATCACAATACATAACATATTAGTACCCAATCCAACCAATAAATTGCGCTTCTGAAATTTCTATTTATACAACCGACACAGCGCATCACAATTTATTATTGGTACAATACAATTAATTTTACAATCACATTTCACTGTGATTCTAAAAAAAAAACAGCGTCTAAACAATTTCTATTATTCAACCACTAGAAAAAAATGTACAGCTGCCAAACAGTTGTATGTCGCAATTATGCGATCACCAACGTGACCTCATTATTTATAAAAATTTTACAAATAATCACTAATTAAAACAACTTGGTTAAGTCTAATGTAGACTTCATAATGCGAAAGAGATATAATTATCTACATATATAAAATTTAATTTCTTTTGTAAATATATTTTGGATTTCATTAAGAAAAATGGTCTTTGATGTAACGATCTCAAGGAAATATTGGACATATCTTGTGGTTGTAAACAATATATAAAACGAAAATTAAAATTATACCGCGAATGTTTCTTTTAAAAATCGAAATTTATTTTCAAAGAGAAATAGCGACATTTCTAACTTTGAGGATGAGGTATGGAAAGGTGAAACATGAAGAGTAATGGAGAACGGAAAAATAAAAAGTGTCCAGGGGCGGGAATCGAACCCACACCCTTCTGCTTACCGGGCAGGTGCCTTGTCCAATTTCACCTTTCCATACCTCATCCTCAAAGTTAGAAATGTCGCTATTTCTCTTTGAAAATAAATTTCGAATTTTAAAAGAAACATTCGCGGTATAATTTTAATTTTCGTTTTACAATCATCAGCCGCGTTATATTGTATTTTAAACAATATATAGGTGTATGCATGTATATGTGTGTATATATGTACATATATTTAAATTTAATGATGTAACTGTAAATAAAATTCAAAGAATATCTCTATATGTAAATAATATTTATGAATCTTTCTAAGTCGCTTTCTGTGTATCTTTCCTTGTTGAATATTTTCTTTGTTATATTTGTATGTACATTTAGCGCAAGTGTCCCTAGGGGGACATAGCGTTTTGAATTGAAATAAATAAATAAATAATACATATCACATTTTTGGATAAACGAGAATATTGTTCAATTTTCCACTGCTTAACATTTATTTAATCATTATAATAACCTTAATTATATTCTAATTTTTGTATAAAATCTTGAATAATTATTTTTATTTTTACCTTTCAATTATATAATCAAAATTTTAATCCAACATTATTTAAAAAAAAACTTTAATAAAATTTACTTTTATTTACTTAAATTTACTTTAAAAGAAATAAATAACTAAGATATAATGGAACTAATGAAAACAACAATTACAGATGTTATGGACCAAAAACTGAAAGGGATCCAAGAGGAATTAGTTAAAACAACTTCAACATATGCTCAAGTAGCTCGTACAGAAACACCACAAGATTACATAAAAAAAAAATACATAAGGAGTTCACAATAGTGGCAACACCTATAAATGTGGAAGATAATACAAAAATGTATCAAACTATATCAAGCAAAGTTAAAAAGCTTAGGGACGAAGGAAAAAAAATAAAGATTAACAAAATTATAAATGCTAGGAAATCTGTAATAATAAAGACCCCTACAGAATCAGACATGAAATCTCTAAATGATGAGTTAGGCAGGGCAGAAGAACTCGCAAATATGAGCAAAATTTTTATCCCCAAACCAAGAGATCCTACAGTAGTAGTCAAAAATGTTAATAAACTTACAGAAACCGCTAACTTTACTAAAACAATCTGCAGTATGAACCCTGAATTGAACGAAATGGAAAATGATATCCATGTTCTGTTTAGCATGAAATCGAACACGCCCCACCATAACATAGTTCTAAGGGTTTCTCCAAAGGTTTACCAGATCCTTAAAAATATGCATAATAAATTATACACTGACTTTGAACACTGTTTTGTGGAAGATAAGATTCTGGTAAAGCAATGTCAGAAATGCCTTCAATTTAATCCCAACCATAAATTGGCCGATTTTACTAACGTCGAGATATGCAAATTATGCGGCGCGCAAGGAATTCATGATTGTTCAAAAATTTGCAATTGTTATAACTGTCTAAAACATCCTAAATTCAGAAAATCGCTGAATCATAGAGCTAATTCCTCGGACTGTCCTCTATACAAAATACAGATAGACAGAATTATCCAACGAACGAGATATCATCCAACCGACAATTAGGCAAATTTCGCAGCATAAGTTTATTTAGTTTGATTATCATGCAGGGAAAAGGAATTAAATGTTTACAACAAAATGTAAGAAAAAGTATCTTGGCACTGAATAAGCTTCAAGCTGCAATAAAAGACAACCCACCAGATATCATCCTAATACAGGAACCTTATCTGATTGATAGAGATGTAATTTTCGATTTGGAATCTCAAATAGTGCATTCAACGACAGATGAACAAATTCACACTGCAGCGATCTTTATGAATAAGAGTTTAAAATTTAATAAAATCAATAAATTCACAAACTCCTTTTGTACAACCAATTCTTTAAATTCAGCAAAATCAAATACTATTATTGCAAACTTTTATATACATCCACATAGATTTAATGACACTCATCGAAAATTTATCCAAGAGCTTCTGGAGACCTACAACCAACAAACTATTATACTATGTGGTGACTTCAATTCTAGACACCCAGTCTGGTTTGATCCGACAACAAACTCCAATGGTTTCAAACTCCACTCCATCATAGATTAACACAGCCTATTTATTCACAATCTTAAGATACCCACCTGCCGAAATTCTAGCTTTATAGATCTTACGATTTCAAACAAAAAATCAATAAGTTTTGTACAAAACTGGAAGACGACTATATTGACGCACGTTTCAGATCACGTTGCAATAACCTTTGACATTTATCATAATTTTAACAGGCAAAGGACAGTTCAAAACTCAACATGGAAATTTATAGAAAAAGATGCTGATTGGAAAACATTTCCCGAAAAAATATCAATACAAGACGTAGATAATATTATCACCATGATAAACCACGCGTCAAAAATCAAAGATATTGACAACATTGTAAAGACTCTCACACAAATAATTAAAGAGGCAGCTTATCTGTCACTAAATGTCAAGACAGGAAGCGGAAATCATAAAACAAATACATACTGGTGGGATGGGAAGCTGGAGAATATGAAAAACGATTTCCACTATATTAGAAATTTGTATTACCGACATGGAAAGGTACTTGAAAAGACCTATAAATCAATGAGAAATAAATATTTAAATAAAAGTAAAAAGGCAAAAAGAGCGAGTTGGAGAATTTTTATAGAAGAACGTCATTCAAATAACTCATTTGGTAATGCTTACAGGAATTTCAAGTCATTGAGATCGAAAAATAGAAATTTAGGATTACCACTAATAGATAATTTACCAGATCATTTAAAGATCGACAAAATAAAAAGTTTAATGAACGATCTATTTCCGGATGATATTGGAGGTTTGGATAAAGATGATCATATTTTGATTAGAAATTATATGCCTAAATATAAAAATAAAAGTAGTGTTTATATAGAATCTAAGGAAATAGAGGAAACAATTCTAAAAACAAATATTAAAAAAGCACCAGGCCCTGATTACATTAGTAACAATATGATTAGACAAGCTAAAATAAAAGTAATCCCAATTCTGCATCAATTATTCAATAAATGTATAGAAATGGGATACTATCCTGATGAATGGAAAAAAATCATTCTTGAAAATAATTCCAAAACCAGGCAAAACGAATTATGAAGTAAATAAAAGTTATAGACCTATATCATTGACATCTAATCTCTCTAAAACATTTGAGAATATAATAAAAATATAAATTAAGTAACTATTATTTAGAGAATAATTTAATGAGCTCAAGGCTGCATGGTTTTATGAAATTTAGATCAACAATTACTGGAATGGATGAAATTATAGAAACTATATTGAAACATAAACAAAAATAATTGACTTCCTTGATAGCTATAGATATTGCGGGTGCATTCGACAATGCATGGTGGCCTGCTATTATAAAAAGAATGAATAATGATCATGTTCCCTCAGATTTAATACGGATCATAAAATCCTTTTTGAATAATGAAAGGGAGGTGAAATTTACATACGAATCAGAAACTTTTAATAAGAAACTAACTAAAGGATGTCCACAGGGGGTGGACCTTTATCACCACTTCTATGGAATATTTTGCTAAATGATATGTTGATAAATTTTTATTCAATGAATGCAGATATTATATGTTATGCAGACTACGTTACAATAATTTGCTGGAATAAGACTATTGAAGGACTAAAAACCGCAAGTGAATACACCTTAAATTATGTGATCCAATGGTGTAATAGAAATAAATTAACGATCAGTACAGAGAAAACTAATATGCTATACCTACATAACAGACAAAAAATACCTATTAAGGTTAACAACAATATAATAATGCCGGTAAAGCAAGTAAAAATTCTGGGAATGAAATTTTCAAATCATAAATGGAAAAATAAAGTTAACTTTACACCACATGTTAATGAAATTCTGTGTAAGGCAGGACGTATGAAAAATTTATTATGTTCACTAAGTGGCAATATGTGGGGTTTAGATACTCAAAAGAGGTTAACTTTATTTAAAACAATCATCAGGCCTGTACTTACATACGGTTCTGAAATTTGGTTCAAATATTTAAACAATCGTTGTAAACAAAAACTGAACTCCATGCAGTACCAGATCATTTTATGGGCAGTTAGAGCATACAAAACCACTTCATCAAACTGTGTGCATAGCTTGGCAAATATTCCACTTCTAACAGACTATATAGAATCCAGAATAATCAAATTTGATCTAGCTCAACTGTCCATTGAAGATCTAATTACTTACGAACCCCATGCTCCAAGTATAGTCAAATCATTCTTACACGCAAAAATGAATGAAATTTTTGATAATACTAATGAAATTTTCAGAAGCTTTTTCTTATTTGGAATTCCAAGATTTTTCCGTCCAAATTTTTATAATATCCAATTCATTACAGATCATGGCAATTTTGGGAAATTTTTGGCAACTATCGGCGCGGTGAAGGGACAGGATGCTTCTGCGGAGGTGAAATTCAAGACGCGAGACATCTACTTCTAGAGTGCCCAATTTTCCGGGATTTTAGGGAAAATAGATTTGGTCGTATTGAACAGCTTGATGAATTTGTAGACAAAAAAGAAAAGTATAAAAATTTTGATCAATTTTGTAAATACATATACAACTTTCTCTTGAATTGGAAAAAAAGAGAAGCAATCTTAGAAAAAAAAAAAGAACTGCGATGCTTGCTCTGTGTGTTTTGCTTTGTTGTTTGCTTTTCTCTTTGGACAATTTTCTTTAGTTAATTTATGTAAAATAATGAATTGAACAGGATTGTATATAGCCGAATTGCTGTAATGCAGTGAAAGGTATTGACGCAAATATCCCTGAGTTTGGGATATCGCGTTTCATGATGTTAATAAAGTTTATCTAATGATATTATTTTAGTATTGCAAAACATTTAATTGTTTCAAAATAATTTTTATTTTCTTAATTATTATATCTTTTATATATTACATGCCTGATTTTGTCCACTTACACTTTTTTTTACCCGCGCAATCATATTTCTATATTTTTATTCAATATATTTTATTTTTTTAAATACCTTTAT